TCTAAAATAGTATTTTGTACAAAGAAATTATACATAATTTGAAAAGTCTCATGTTGAAGACAGATGTCGCTTCTTTTACTAGATTGCTACTCTTATTCTTTTAAATGATATCGTAATTCTTCAAGACATAAAAGTTCTTTGGCATCAATTTTGCTTCTCCACATTCAACTTCATTGCAACCATGCATCTTATGTGAATTTTAATCACCTGGAATTGAAAAATGTATGGATTTTGTCAGATGATGCAGTACTATATTTAATGTTTCATGCATGTCATCATAACCTTTTCTTGAGCAAATATTTTAAGGTAGGAGCAAAATTTGGCACATTATTGAACAAAGTAGTTTTATCTTGATTTTGATGTACTAACCTGTTTACTATAACAAACAATTCATTTACAGAAACACCAGATGGCATTTATAAAACTTTTAGCATAAAACAAACCTTTACACACCATCATCAAAATTGTCCATAATCTGTCAAATTGTCCAGGCTAGCTGTTTAATACAGGTATTTTTTATCGTACGACATGTACCAAAGAGCTCATTAATTAATCCTGCACTGCATTTGATTTCAATACAGCTCTGATCTTAATATTTGCTTCATATTTTCAGAAAAATATCATGAAAACACCCTCCATTTCTTGAAGGTAAACTCAGTTGAAACAAGGAGTTTTAAGATATGCATATCTCGATAAGAATTGGTTGCTTTGCCTCGTCTAGCAAGCGATTAAGTAAAGAAAAAATAAGACTGGATAAACATAACTTAAATTATAACTTAGGAGTAAAACATTCACAAAATATATACCATCACACTTCAAGTATTGACTTAAAACAAAACACTGAACACTTTAAATAGTAAACAATCTTACGTTGCTTACCGTAGTCATGAAATGTTTCCTTTTCTGACATTACTTCAGCATCCGTATACCAAACAAGTTTGCAGCATGTTTTAAAGATAAAATTTCTAAAAGTTTTTGTGCTTGGCATTGATATTTTATATAATCGCAATTGTGGTTGTCAAATCCGGGTGGGCGAAAAAAATTTTATTTTATGAGCCCGCGTCTTTCCGCTGACTTTGACAACCAAAATCCGCCATGTTTTTGACCACGCGGCCGCGCGCTAATAATTTATAGTAATTTGGTTGACGTTTCCCCTCCAGGTCTTATAGAACTCAATGATGGCGGCTCGTCAGTAATCTAGACCTACTATATCTATGGTTTTTAGGTACTGATGTGGGTGATGTGATATGTGAGGCAAATCTTCGTAAATTTGCTTTTATATTAGTTTAATTGATTATTACACATGGTGTCCTACGGAAGTTAGTGAGAGCAAATTTTTGCGCATTTTCAAAGGTAAGTTTAATTATAATATGTTAGTTTTGAGATATATAAAAATATTAATTGATTAAATTATTGGTCCTCGTCATATTTAAGCAATTATTTTATTAAAAGCGCGATCGGCCCACATAGATTTTCTAATGTATAATGTTGTTGCCATATGGCAACAATGGGCAGATTAATCTCTGGAAGATGTCACTGTAGAAATAGTGTTAATTGAATATAAACTAAGCATTTCCTTTCTATAACTGATGTTTTTATTCTTTTTTAAGAGAGTTATGGATTTGACTGAAGCAGTAGAGCTCATTTTTTGTCCTAATGGTGAAATATCAGATGTAAGCGACATTGATGATGGTGATGATGAGGTATCTCTGGCAATATTCTACTCAGACTTACCAAAAATTTGGCAGATCACAAAGATTACAAGATGTATTTCAACAACTGGTTTGCATCAGTGCAGTTGGTAGAAATGTTAAAAGAAAGAGGCATTTGGGCAGTTGGCACTATTCGCAAGGATCGAATGGCAGGTTGTCAACTGAAATCAGACAAAGAATTTCTTTGTGAAGATTTCTGAAATGAAGAATTTCTGAAATGAAGAAAGATGGGCGAGGAAGCTATGATAACAAGTCTAATGATAAAGGTGTCACAATTGTTAAGTGGTATGACAGCAAGCCAATACATATTGTGTCATCCCATTATGGTCCTGAACCACTTGGAATATGCAAGCGATACTGTGGTAAAGCAAAGAAGAAAATTGATGTCGTTCGACCTTATGTTGTACTGGAGTACAATGCCCATATGGGAGGAGTTGACTTGGCAGACATGCTTATTGAACTATATTGCATCAATTTACAGTCAAAGAAATGGTACATGAGAATAGTTTTGTATTGTTTGAATGCTGCATTGGTGAATGGCTGGCTATTGTACCAGCAACATGCAAAACAACACAAAAAGAATCAAAAGTCATTGTTGACCTTGAGAGAATTTCAAGCACAGATTGCTTCTTCCATGACAAAAAAGGGAAACGAACTACAAACGAAGCATGGTCGACCATCTAACTCTCCCAGCCAGCCAATTCAAAACAAGAAACTAAAAGCATCTACACCAAACCCAACCAATGATGTACGATATGACAGTTTTTCCCATTGGCCCATACAAATTCAAAATAAATTGCGCTGCAAAAACTGCATTAAAGGCTATACCAGAATAAAATGCATCAAATGTGAAGTGCCTTTGTGTTTGAATAACAACAATAATTGCTTTTTGAAGTAGCACAAAAAGTAAAATTGTTATAGTTGTAAATATTTCTTACTTGTAGTATTGCTACTTTGTACATATTTTTTTCCTTTTACTTGGAGTAAATGGGAACCTCACTGTCAATTGTATTTTTAGTTAATTTTATGGATTTTAATACAGGTAAAATAATTATAACACTTCAATGTCAATCAATAAACATGAGTTTTAAGTATAGAGCTATGTCACTATACTCCCAATGTTGCCATTTGGCAAAAAATTATTATTCCATGAAAATATAAATTTTAGACTAGCAATGAAATTCATGACATATTTAACATTATATCTATGCATATGTAGCGCAAAAAATTTTTGGCAACGGCTAATAATTTGGGAATGAAAGGGTTAGTAAAATCATGGCTTTGAAGGGGGCCAATTTCATATATTCATGACATGACGTAACCGAAATGCATCAAGATATAATACATGCCAACTACTATAGGCAGGTCCATCAAAAAGTTTGCCAAAGTCAAGCCGTACACCACAACTGCAGGACTGGACATTGTATACGGAAGCAACAATGTATTATCACGCATATCTCTCACAAAGATTGCAAACCAAAACTTCTGCATATTTGTATCAAAAATACACAACTCAAAATTCATTTATGTGTACATAAGCACAAACAACATATCTTGCATGTATTTATTCAAGTTATGCACCACTTTTTACATTAAGCAGATTTACATTCAAAATTCAACAAAGTTGCAGTTTTCCACATTTGTAGGTAATAATAATTGTATATAACAACTAGGAAGAAGACGTTCACAAAACTGAATGTCTACCAGGATTCTTACTAGAACGTTTGTACGAACTGAGAACAAACGCCATTCACAATATTGTCATGAAAAGACCACTGGCATATGAAATGAGACTGGCACCTGAACAAAGTCCAAGATGTTATATGTAATTAAAATTTATAAGAATTAAATGATAAAATTAATACCTGATGTGATTAAAGCCGCGTTGAAGAACTAGTGAAATGTTTGATTTATTTTATTAAAGATCACAACATGTAGTGACATAGTTGATAAGCGAAAAATTGACAAACTCAATTCAGTATTAAAATTCATCTTTTATGTAAATCAAAACGAGTCGCTGTTTGGATGTAATATGTAACTAAACACAATGAACGCGTGCGCTGATTGGTCTCGAGCTGTGTTGCATTAGCCTGTGCAAAACACATCTGAGCTCAACCAATTAAATCAATCATAACAATCAATCAATCAAAGACAATTTGCAAATCGATCATGAATACATTTTAGATGAAAAATTAAAAAGTTTACTTTAAATTTGTCTGTTTTGCATTATTGTTATTTTATAAAGAAATAAAAGATGTTTTTCATGTTTGCACTAGTTTATGCAAACTTTGGAAAAGTTTGTTAGTCTCGAGTTCCCCAAAGGTCTCCTCGGTTTGCATAAGCCGGTAAAAACACAGCAAACATCTTTTATTTTTTAAATAAACGTTCTTGTAAACCGTGTTTGGATTACAACCCTTAATAATTATGTTACATAAGAATAAGCCAATATTATGAAAGAAATATTCTCTCGACATATATAAACATCATTCTGATCTGCTCTTTACACATATGAATATGTTTGAACGTGCTTACTATACGTTATTATTACATGACTTTTACCTTCTCATCCCTCATATTTCATCGAGTGAATACACTGAATGACTTTTTCAAAATCGTCAACACAATGTTCATTCCGTGGTAGTTGACTTCTCTTGCAGATTAAAACCATCATTACTTTTTTTAAACCTACTACTTTGTAACGTGTGCTTGTCGTAATTTTCAGGGGGAACGTGCTTTTTTTGATGAATCAATGGCTGATAATGTGGTTCAATCACTGCAACGTAGTCCAATTTATCTGATTTACCTTCATTGTCTTCATTCTGTGACGGAAGCTCGGGAAGAGGAACGTTAACTTTATTAATGGTTCGATAACGCTTCTGTTCACTTGAGTCTGGAGTACCGTTGGGAGTGTTGCCGATTAGATCGGGTGGTGCTTCGTATATGTGGTTTCCATCGTCATCTTGTACTTTATTCTTTAGCTGAATTTGCGGCAAATGATTTTCTTTCTAGAAAAATGATCGGATGCAATGAAGTATAAAAATATCACAATCAATAAAAGACATTTTTCAAAACATTAAGAATTCAGTACTGAGAATTATATTCTTCTTTCCATTTAGCCAAACCATAATTTTCTTTAAAATATTCAATCATAAACCGAAATGTAGAATCAATCAATGGTAAATTTTTTAAGCCTCCCAAAATATGAATAGAAAATTAATATTAAAACATTTGAGTTTGAATAGTTCCTCATATCCAGCAAACATAATCTCGTAAAATATAATATCTTACTTTGTTTTGATTTACGGAAGCAAACAACAACAACAATAATAATAACAAACACAACAACCACAGATACTCCAGCAATAACACCGACAATAGTTGACTCATCAGATGAAGATTTTGGTGACGGTAGTGGTTCTACAGAAAATAATGAAGTGTTACATTATAATGTCTGTATCATATGTTAACCATAATTACACTTATTTATTCACCAAAAGATTCAAAAATACAAAACTACTTTACACCGATTTGTTTAATATTTTACTACTGTTTACTACTTCACAACGCTTTAAACATAAACTTTGTTTAATTTCAAATACTAATTTGAAAACGTTAACGTACTTTTTTACAAAATGTGAGAATTAAAATAAATCCTATTACTTATACACACCTGTTGGTACTTGTTGATTCTTGTACTCCAAAACAAAACCTGATTCTTTCAAATTTGAAAATTTCTCATATTGTAATAAAATATAAATATTATTGGTCGATGACAACAATGTAGTGTTGTTATCGATATTGTTGCTGTGACGAAAAATCTTCCCAGGACATGCGCACTGGAGTTCATTCCATCGTAAATAGTGAGAACGTCATTTCCAATATTTAAGGTATTAATATTCAAAATAATTATATCATCTAAATCAATAGTTATTAACCAAGAACAATTAGAGCGACGAGGATAACCAACAGGACTGTCAACTGGTGATTTTATGGTTCCAGAATTAACAATGACGTCATGATGGCAGTCTAGTATCAAAAAATCGCAAAAATTCACAGTTACAAATTCTGCTGTTATCACGATGCGATTTCAATGCAACACTATGTGAGAACAGTTTGAGCAATTTAAATTTTTTGTTCTATAATTCAAAAAGTTTTTAGTGTTCATATTATTCGTAAAATGAGTACATTAAAGTGGTCATGAGCAATGCGAAAAAACGCGGATGAAACCATGAATGATAAATTCAATAAATAAAACCATAACAAGATCAAACCTTCAAAAAAACGTTGAGCACTGTATTGCCCACGAAAGGCAAACACAATTTTTGGATTTGACCCATAGCTACCAGAGTTACCCACGATAAACAAATGGCTTGTTAAAGTACGTATTTCCATTCCTGCAGTTGCGTTTTCTCCACAATATTTACCAAGTAATGGAGAGGTATCATTTGGACCATTGTAAATATTGAGGTATGTATCGTTGCACTGTGGGATATTCAGTATCGAGAATTTCAATGAGATAACAAACGTTTCTGCTACAGTAATTAGCCATGAACAATATTGAGAGTGCGGACCCACATCGTTTTGTGCAATGTTGTGGGAAGATATAGAACCATTGGGACCACTAACTAAATCACGACAATCTAAGTTATGAAAAAGAATGCAAGTAGGATTATGAAACAGCAACATTGATTTGGACCATTCAAAAAAGGACAATATTATTATTCAGAGACATATGTGATTTGAAAAATGTAAGAAGAAATAAGACTTTGAATTGCATGCAAAATACTAATGCAATAAATTGTTTAATACATCAAAATTATAATCAAAAATCTTTATTTAGTATGAAGCATTAATGTATTTCATACATACTAATGTATTAAAATTTGTAAATGTAGTAACTAAACGGCCTCCTGGAAAGCAGATGCCTATATGAGCCATGAAGAGCTACCGTTTTTAAATATTTTTGAGTGAAATAAAAAAATACTTACCTACATAGTAACAATAGTATAATTTGGTGCGACCTGAACTGTCTGATTTATCTAGGAACACACAATTTCCAGAAAAACGATCATTATTTTTACTTTCTGCCGTATTAAATAAAATATACTCCATTTGACTTGTTGCCCATTTTACCATTTGACATTTGGGAGATGACACTGAATTAGATGTCAGCAAATAAAAGGTTTGCTACCGGCAGATTAATGGAATCATACCAGTTTCCATTTGTTTGACAACAATAATGAATAACAGTGTCTTTATCATAGGTGCCAAAAGGTAACTGTCCTCCCAGGTCATTTCTATTGTTTCTATCTTCATCATCCAATCTTACAAATCCAGAACTAAGACCATCAGGACAAGTGTTGCTCGACTTATAGAGACAATACAAACCTTTGAAAAATTATAAAATGTATGTGAATTGATTGATATCTGTATGACGGAATTATTATGATTAGGATAACTGTAATTTAAGATGTTATAGAATTGATGGCTATGGTGATCGGTTTATATTTAAATATATTTTTTCTGAAGATAGCCATAACATTTAGAGAGAAAGGTAGAGCAAACCATGAACAATAAATTCTTTCTCAGTTTTTTGACAAATTTTATCACAAAAGATCATAAAAACGAACAATTTATTTTTGAAGTATGTCATATGGGAATTTTCATGATATGAATGGTCGCCCGTTATAAACAAAATACATGTGAAGTCCAGCTTTGTCTTTTAAGAAGTATGACAATATGCTCAATATGCACTTGTTCTTGCTGTCTTCATCCCTTCATAGATCAGAGACGAAGGCAAAACTATAAAAAAATGACAAAAACCTTTGGGCCTCACTAACCTTTAGGCCAAGGTCTTGTTTCTTTGTTCATTTGATTCAACATACAAAATGTTCGATTGATATCAAATCTTTCATTTCTAATTGGAAAGGTAACAGCCATGTGATTTTCAGGTGACGCTATTGAACGTAATTCCTCATCTTCCATATCTTGAAACCTCCATCCCTCACGCCATCCACTTTTCGCATCACCAGGACATCCTGTTATAGCTTTCGGTAGACCAAAGTTGCCAGTTGGCCATTCATTTTCTGTGAAAGAAAACAATTAAGATGAACTACATTTTTTATATCCAGTTCTTAGCTTTATTTACCAAACAATGCCAGCGAGTTCAGAGTTTATATGAGAGTTTTCCCTTTTCAGGCCGTTTGTAATTTTAAAAGTGCTGAAGTTTTCATCAATTTATTGAAATTTTACTTAAGTACTTAAGTACGTGAAAACAATATCAATATAATTTGCAGGAATTCTTTACAATGACGCCACGTACAAATATATTGTCTCTCAGTTTTGTATCATCACAGGGTAGCTTTTGGCTCTTTTTTTGTGTCTGAAAAGAATTTTAATCGTGTACACTGACTGATATATGAAATGGGTGTTAGACTAAATAAAACATAAACTTTCGAATGAGCAGCATGCTGGGAGCTCTTTGAGATTCAATTTCCTGCTAAACCATTCGTATCGCATATACATATGTTTTGCATAAAAACAAACCTTTAGACAAATAATGAGCAATATAATGTGCTTGAAATCTAAACACATTTCTTGGATAAGATCCATTGCCACCATAGTTTCCCACGATCAACAAATAGTTTGTTGAAGAACTTATTTCCATGCCTGCACTTGCATTTTCTCCACAATATTTGCCAAGTAGAGGGGCATCATTTGGACCATTGTAAATAGAAAGAAATGCATCGTTGCATTGTGGGATATGTAATATAGAAAATTTCAATGAGATGACAAATGCTTTTTCTACAATAATCAGCCATGAACAATATTGAAAGTTTAGATCAGTTTCGTTTTGGGTTATATCGTGTGAAGATATTGAGCCACTTTGAGCAGTGTATGTGCAGCCTAAAGTAAATAAAAAACTTTACTATTAAAAAATATCGGAAAATCAGTAGAAGAAACGCACTACAAAAGTTAAATAACTGCATATTCAGCAATGTGTAGAGTTAAATTAAGTACGAAATAACAAAGTAATATGATTATCATCATATAAATATGCTTCATTAATTTGTAATGGCCTCGCAAATATTTCATAGTCAATAAATGTTTTATAACAACAAACCTAAAAGCTGAGCTTTGTAATATGCTTGAAAGGCAAACAGACTTTTTGGATGGGAGCCATAGCTACCAGAGTTACCCACAATAAACAAATGGTTTGTTGAAGAACGTATTTCCATTCCTGCAGTTGCATTTTCTCCACAATATTTACCAAGTAGAGGAGAGGTATCATTTGGGCCATTGTAAATATTGAGAAATGTATCGTTGCACTGTGGGATATTTAATTTCGAGAATTTCATGGAAACGACAAATGTTTTTGCTGTAGTAATAAGCCACGAACAATATTGAGAGTGTGGATCCATATCGTTTTTGGCTGTCTGATGCGATGAAATTCGACCACTGAGACCAGTGATAGAAACCCGACAGTCTAAAGAAAAAAAGCGTTTCTTTCTTGCCAGTAGACAAAGAGGCATCCTTGTTGAAAGTTAGAAATAAAATATTTTTAGCTGTATACAACCGATACCATAGCTATATGGTCATTTCACGATTTATCGTGACGAATAACAAACATGATTATAGAACTTTAAATTCATGTTTTCTACATGGAATTAAAGAAAAATAGAGACCATTACCTTTGTAATAACAATAGTAGAACTTTTTGCGACCAGAACTATCAAAAGTTTCAACAAAAACATGATTTCCAGAAAGATTATCACTATTGTTGTCATCCTCCGTATCAAATAAAATATACTCCATTTGACTTGTTGCCCATTTTACCATTTGACATTTGGGAGATGACAATGAATTGGATGTCAACAAGTAAAAAGGTTTCATAACTGGCAATTCAATGGAATCATACCAGTTTCCATTTGTTCGACAGCAATAATTAATAGTAGTGTCTCTATCATAAGTGCCGTCAGGTAACTGTCCTCCTCGATCATTGACTCTTCTTGGCCAATCATCTTCATCGTCCCATTTCACAGAACCAGAACTCATACCATTTGGACAAGCATTATTTGACTTGTAAACACAATATGCACCTTGAAAAGTAAACGTAAATAGGTAAGCTTAACATTACAAATTTTAGTGGTCAGGATTCAGTTTTTCCTACATGTGTGTGAAATTGCAATCGAAAAATCTATAATGAACTGTGGCAAAGGCCGACTTGAACTATAACACTCGTACGATGAAATCTTTCAGCAAAATTTTCATTCATTGCTTTAAAACTTAATTCTATTTAATTAGTGTTCACTTTTTTCAGTGAATGAGCAAAATAGTTGCAGAGACTGTACTAATGGTAATACTTGTCTAGGATAGTAACGCATAAAAATGAGTTTTCCTTGCGCGAAACCTTTGCAAGCAAAGCAAATTGTGTTTTTTTTTAACAGTTGCAAATGCTAAAACAAATATATTTGTCGTAGATCGTTATATTTTAGATTTTACATCAGCCAAATGTCGCCTTATCATTTGCTTAAAGGGAACTGTTGCTTAAAAAACATTACGTGCAAAAAACCCAATATTATTATTGTGCAGGTGAACACTTAAGCCCCGCCCACACGTACACGAATATTTTCGTATCCGCAACAAAAAAATTGCGGATAAGCCTTTTTAAATCCGCTCTCTAGAGTAAAAATTTTCGTATCTGCAAACAATTTGGATTCGTGTGGACGGTAAATCCGGATATTTTTGACCACGATTGCCTGATATTTGCTTCGGATTGATTCCAATCGACATTCTCCATAGCGTTGGAT